CAGCTTCAAAAGTTCCATCCCATGAGATGAAGGAAAACGAAAAAGCCTGGGAACCGACGCAGAGAGAAAATGACGGGAATAATTCTTATCATAATAGAAAACACCCTCTCTCTCTCTCTCTTTCTGTCTGTCTCTCCCCTTTCTCTTTCCTTCTCTCTTTCTCCCCACCCCCTCTCTATTTTCTATGTCTCTGTCTGTCTGTCTGTCTCCCCCCCCAATTCTCTCTCCCTCTCTCTTTTTCACTCTCCCCCCCCTGTCTTATTTTTCTCCTACCCATTCACTCAACGACTCAACAATCTTCCTTTACTTTTTTTTCTGGCCTCTATTACCTTACAGTGTTGAGGGGATAACAAACTTTCGTTCACTAATTAGTTATATCACCTGTCGCACGGTCAGAATATTGCTCCACGCTAATGTTTCTCTAATCTCCCCCCCTCCTCCCCTAAATCCATCTTTTCCTAGGCCTGCATCTCCCTCTTTTTCTATTCTAACGTCTAGTGTGAAAATAACATCAGCACATCACTTTGCCCCAAACCAGTCTTTTGCTTCAATGTATGTAATCGTCGGTGTCTACAGCAACGATAGGCCTATCTACTTTTCATTTTTAGATCTAGATCTAGATAATATCTATTTGTTTCACTTCACATCATCCCTCCTGCACTATCGGGAATGCCCGCAATGTAAAGTGGTGTTGAAACATTCAAAGCAGTTTTTCACATAACAGAACTCGCAATTTTCCGCATTTCTATTTCCATAACATCCGGTTTTCTTGAATTCTCTTTCCCCCTGATTCAACTGGGGTTTAGGCATGCACTGTTGAGCCACATTCACGTGCCAGAAAGTAAGACAATTCGGTTTAACTAATTAATCTTGTTATTCGACATCGCTTTAAGTCGCACATTTTGGGGCTCTCTCCCTGTACCGTCAAGTGCATAAGTCAAACCTCGTATATATCGCCTACCTCGGGACGAGCACGGAAGTGGCGGTGTAGCGAGACCAGAGACACTAAAATATATATATATAATTAAATTCTCTCTGGCGTGACTAGCTAGGGTATAATGGGATAGCACTGTTTGCCATCTTGGCTAGGGGTAGACTGGTAGAGAGTAGGTAAAAAATGTAACCAGTCTTACTTCATCTCTGTCTTGTGTGGTTATCATCATGCGCACGTAAAAACGAGTAGCAACCAATTGAATGTACAGCTGCAGCTGAACTGTACGTAAATAAAGTTTAAATACAAATTGATTTTTTTTCTGGATCATAAGCTAAGCTATGTGGTGGTGTGTAACAGGGGGCAGTACAACGAGGCTTGACTGTAAGGCAGAGGGCAGTGGACGCCACAATTTCTATTCCTGGCCACTTCCTCTAATCTTAGCACAATTAGGCCGTGGGCGATTGCCTCATCCCAGATTGTGCTTCTGTAATTTCCAATAGGTCCACCTCTTCTTCGTTTCCCAGCTGGTCTCCAGTACCACCACGTCTGATGACAAGGCAATCTTGTTTCTTGCATTCTCAAAGCATGTCTTACATATTTCCACGTTTTCTTTATCTAAAACCTAAAAAAAAGATAGACAGCAACAGACGTACGGTACTATGAAATATACACGTTCCTTCACAACCCAGGATGAACACACCTTCTTTTTTTTGACGTGGGTGTTGACGGGTGCCCTGGTGTGGTGTTCTCCTTCCCAACATCGTTATTACCTCTCCTTCTTCTTTTCTTTGTGTGTTACTTTGTAATAAGTTCTGTAATCTTCTATACGTATATATGACTTATCTGAGTTGCAAGTACCATAAAACATTTACTAAAAGCGAACACTTTCTCCCCTCGTCGTAAAGAAAACAACGCACTAAATGTGTGGCCTACAAACTTCTGATTGTTGTTGTTTGCATTGTGTTTTTTTGGGGGGTCTTGTTTTTGTGTTGTTTTTCTTTCTTTTCTTTCGGTTTTTTGTTGTTTGTTTTGTTTTAGTAAGTTTTTTTTTATGGCGCTCCCAACTGCATAAAGTTATATGAGCGCGCTTTTGTTTTTTAAAATTTTATTGCAAAAGTCTGACTCGGACTTACGATTTTTCTGGATCACTTTTTCTTTTCCCGTACTTTCAGCACTCGGTTAGAAACGGGGCGACGTCACATCTATAATTTTAGATATAGATCTGGGTCATCAATGGAGACGGGACAAGATGACACACCGTCCCCCGTGCCCGACTCGCCCCCGCCCCCACGTGACCACGAGACAGGCATGCCGGGCGGAATGCCCAGTTCCTACCCCGTGCACCGGATGTCCGTCACACTGACCAGCGATGACCAGGTCCAAATGGGACTGACCGTCTACGACCGGCGCGGCTACATGGTGGTCAAGGACGACGAGTCGTACGTCACACTGTCCGGTGATGACCAGGACAGTACAACGTACCCGGAGGAGACTTTCAGGTGGGTAGGTCAGTGGATGGGTGGGTTAGGGAGTGGGTGTGAGAGTGAGTGGGATGGTCAGGACAGTACTACATACCCCTATGAGACTTTCGGGTGGGTGGGTGGATGTGTTGGGG